GAAGAGCGTTTTCTCTGACCCTTCATTTCATGAAAAAGTAAAGGGGTCATTTTAAGGCCACTCTAGACCTTCCAGATGACCGCGCATAACCACATACTGCCGCCCAAGAATGTGCGTGTGTCTAAAGTTACCTTCAGCGCTAAGCAGTACAACTCTCACCATCAGGGCTACCGGGAAGAGAAACGACATCCTTGGAACGTCGGTGAAGGTCAGGTGACACCTGGCTTCCCAGTAATTCGCACCGGAAGACACGGGGGGAGGACCTCCTCCCCCAGAAGCCCTGGGGGACCGGTGTGCCAAGCTCAAAGCCCGGACACTGAGGCAGCATCTCAGCCATCACATCAGACCCACCCTGCTGCTTCAGAGTCTACTGGTCTTATAGTCCAGTGTGAATTTTAATATAAATATGTTTTGAATTGCAGTTGCCAAAGAGGCATAAGGGGTTCGTGTTTATACATATTCAAATAAGATAATAAAAATTATCTAAGGCAAAGGGGGTTCTGAGGATCTGACACACTTCATCGTTTTCCTCTTACAGAGGCAGACACACTCCTTCATCCTGGGCCCCCTGCTGCTGCGCCCACTGTGGAAACACCGCACACGTGGAAACACCGCACACAAGGGACTGCTCTGGCTCACACACGTCCACCCAGTCCACAACTGCCCCAATGCTTTGGGCTTTTTTAAGTTCCTGTGCACTGGAAACACAGTCCAAATGCATCACACCTTGGTTACTGATTACACGGACTCACAGAAACCGAATCAGGCCCAGCTGTGTCTCTGGAAACGGAACAACAAACAGCAACACCTCTGTCAGTGCAGTGGCCAGGCCCCCTAGAGCTGGTCTGAGTCCTCGCTCTGGCCCACCGGCCCCCGAGCTCCAGCCCCGGAGCAAGTCACCCCACCCCCTACCCTTCAGCCGTGACAGTTAAGCAGGGTCCCGCCTGTGGAAGTCCAGGACGGTCAGGTGAGCAGCGACATCCTGCGTAGCGCTGTCCACGAGGGCATGACCGGCTGAATAGCTGGGGTGACAAACCCTACGTGCCAAATGCTCATGCAGAGCAGGCCTTCAGGAAACATACAGACTGTAAAGACAGAGTCTGGCTCCTAAGAACTTAATCCAGCAGGAAAGACCAACGGGGAATGAAAACTCTGCACAGAATACAGTAAGTGCTAAAAGGGATACAAACCAGAAATCCATGTCATCCTTTTCACCACGTTTACAGATCCCACGCTTGCTTTCCTGTATCATTACAATTTTAGTGATTGTGCTACCTTTTTTTAATGAATAGGTCAATATCTCTCATTAAATGCAGGCTCCTTGAAACAGATTAATTTTTTTTCAAGGCATTCTTTTTTAAAGAGATATTTATTACAGTCAATTATTCTTCACACACTGAAGTATCTTGATGATACTCAGATAATTAAGACCCTAAAAGTAACTGAGCCTTACTTCTAGTCTCCTCTACCTAAGTGTGCACCCAAATGAGTGTGTATGTGAGAGATCTAATATCCTCCCTAAATTTCACCCAGGCAGGATATTCTAATCTTTACATTTGAAACATTATGTGCCCTTCCTTGTCTGCCCTCCCTTTTCGGAGACTCCTATTCATCCCTCAAGACCCAATTAGGTGCTACCATCCAATTTCCCCAAGCAGTTATTTAAACACTCTTCTGGACTCCCAAGGTACTTGTGATTCCTCTAATACAGTGCATTTCACATGGCACTGAATTATTTGTATCTCTCCTACCAGATTTTGAGATATTTGTTGCACTGTCATGCACTTAGCACAATGCTGGGCACATAGTAGGTACAAATGTTTGTGAACAAATGAGCAAATGAATGGAGGCATGGATGAATGAACGCACGGATACAATAATCAAACTCCATCCCAGAAGTAGAACAACTCAGGTTTTCCTTAAATCATATAATGATACACATCAGCAGTAGAGTTTTTCCTATTTCCACAATCTAATAGGATGTCACAATCCCACATATTTTTCTGAAGAAATATTACCCCATTCACCTCTGGCCTTTTAGATCTAATCCTAATGTAAACTTGGAAACAAAAGATCTACATAGATGAAGAGAGAAAAATAATCCCAAAATACATTTTAGATTAATTTTTGCTACATTTGCACATTCACTTACTTTATAAAAGTGATGGCTATTTCCCCAAATCTATTTACCTTCTTTCCCAATGAGGTCAGACTTTTCAAGTTTTCTCCAATGTTTAGAAACACACCGTTTCCACTTTACGGAGCTTCACACAGCTTCATACAAGCAAACTCCTCGGGCTAGTTTCCAGCGTATTTAATAACAGTATCGTTGCCTGTTTCTCTCTTTCCTTCTCTCCACCTCATCAGGATAAAAAGGGGACATGTGGGTGCCCCCCCATTCTCACTGCCACGCCAGGATGACAAGCACAAACGCAGTGGAAAGTGACTCCTGGCCACCGAGGAGATTGTCTCCCCCCATGCCTCCGCACACCTGCATGAGGTACGGACCACGGGCAAGCCAGGCCGGCTGCTGGGAACAGATGGTCCTGCTGCATAACATCATGCGCGTAGAGCACCCCGTGGGCCAGGCAGGCAAGACTCAGGAGCGAAGCCCGCAGAGTCCTGATATCCAGAGCAGGAGCCATTCGGGCCACCTAAGTCCAGCCCTTGGTTTCGCGGATGGGAGGAACAGGCAGGGCACCCACTGATGTCCTGACGTCCGTCCCCATTCTCCCCCAGACACCACCTTCTCCAGACTCGGCCACGCCCCCTGGGGCTGGACATTCGGACAACGCGTTACAGCCCAGCTCAGCACGAGGGTGGCAGGGAGGGACTCCGCCCTCCAGCAGGGCCCTAGGGACACGCTGACCTCAAGGGCTGCACCTCCAGGGCCAGTGAAGCCACGAATGAACCACGATTTCAATCGTCTTCAACCCAACACGTGCGGGGCTCGGGCTGTGGCAGGGCGGGGGTGGGGGGCAATATTCAAAAGAAAGCTGCAGCCCAGGCCCTCGACACGCTGGGGACATGGCCACACGGCCACACTGGAAGTGTACATTCCTCGCGTGATGACGGAAACACAAACAAAGCATCCCCGGGGCCCAGAGGACAACACAAGAAATGCTGACCAGAAACTAGGGTCCGAGGTAGGGGTGTAGGTAAGGTTTTGCAGAAAAGGCAGCATCTTCACGGAATCTGAAAGAAAGAAGGCTGCCTCCGCGGGCACAGGGGGGAGGGGATGGCCGGGCGCGGGGAGGGGACCTGGCCGCGCGGCCCAGCAGCCCGCAAGTGTCCGCAGGAGAGCAACGAGGCAGACGCGGCCTACACAGGGACAGGGACAGAGGCGACACAGCAAAGCGGACCAGCAGCGTGGTTCGGGGAGAGGACATCTAAAAATCTAAAAGCTTCCTTACATCTTGAATCTTTGCACTTAAAAGTGTTGACGAAGATAATTTAGGAAGTAAATAACTTCATCTAGACCAAGAACTGTGTTTAAAAAACTAAACTCAACCCTATGCTTAAAAACCTATTTTAAAATAATCCATTCTCTCAAGGACGCACTTTTTTAAAAAGACAAATGTCTAACAAAATCAATCATCTTACGTTGAAATTTTACCAAAGCAGATAAACCATCCTTGTGGCATGAAAAATGGTGGGTGTTATATTCAAACTATACCATTTATTGTCTCCTGGAGTTTCTGAGTAAAAGTTGGATACTACTCCCAACCCTTGTGTGTGTGTGTGTGTGTGTGTGTGTGTGTGTGTGTGTGTTTACTAGTATATGGATTAAAATCTACATAAAAATGCCCTTCATTTCTGCCAACAGAGGACTCCAGAACTTCTCCCATTCTGAGCGTCTTTTAATTTTCAACTTTTTGTAGATTCTAGCCAAAGTTCTCATATTGCAGATAATATGGATTAAATCCCCATTTGACCACCAATAATGGCAACAAGAAACTGAAGGCTGACTTCACTACAAATCTTTTGTTGAAAACTCCAGTTATATACAGTAACTGATAACCTAGTATTCACACTCATACCTTTAGCAAAAATGTATCAAGTTCCTACTGTGCAGTAAAGAGATACAAAGTCTGCCCCTCCTCTCAAAGCAGAAGCCAGGGACTCTCGTTCATTTCTGCCCCCCCAACCCTGGCACCTAGAACGGTGCCTGGCGGGGCTACAGTGAGCGCTCTTCATTGACTCACCCAAAGAGCTTACGACCCAGTGGAGATGGGAAGTGAGACAGGGGAAAGAAGAAACTCATAACACTTGCAAATAATTATTATATTTTTATATTCTTATTCACATACAAGAATATCTAACAATAATTTCCATCTCCCTTCTCTCTCTACATAATAAAAATTTTATGCAGCTCAGAGAAAGGGTTTATACTCACTGCATGGTCTATTTCTAGTTTTAATTACAATGCTTGGCAAAGCTTGGAAGATCATTTCAATTCGTTTCAAAAATAACTCCCATTCAATACAAGAAGATGGGATTTTTCACAGTTGTGAATTTTTTATTTCCTTGACAATGAAAATGGCTTGGCATATAAATAAAGCATTTGCTTAGAAACTTTGGTCTCGCGAAGATCCAGGGCTGATATCTATTAATAAGAATGAAGTGGTTTTCTTCAAAAAGTGAAAAGCTACACTCCCCTTCCCACCACTGTTTCATTTCTATTTATGAGCTAGAGAAACAGCAGTTTCCAGCAAACGCGAGTCAGGAAGGCTGGCAAGGTCTCTCACGGTACTTACTGATCCGTACAGCTCCCCTTTCTCATTCATGCCGAGGTAGAGTCCGCTGTCCACGCCTCGAATGCTGACCAGGCCCACCGCTATACTGATAAACTCCAGGATGCCTGTGAGACCAACAGCAGAGGGAGACAGGTCAGAGCACAGAGCATCTCCCCTGGAGCGTCCACATCCCTGGGAGCATCTAAGAGGAAGGCTGCACCTTCACTCGAGAAGTGTCTTCTCTTAAAAGCACTGCCCCAAAGAATTGATTTTTCAACTAAATTTTATCTTACAGTAACGAGACAAAAATACTTACCAACACGACACATAACAAAATATTTTTTAAGTAAAAAAGATAGCATTTACATAGATATGGTGAGAAGTGACATGTCAGTAAACCAATGCACGTGTTCTAATTAACTTAAAGGAGTATAATGTATGAGAAAACTTACTTCCACTTTAAAAATGTGAAATTAAGTATCTGTGTATGGCCATGGATTGGAAAAACAAAATTCTATTCAGAGAAGGGTCTATGCCCCTCATAAGAATAGGAGATGCCAACCAAAGACTTGTTTGGTTTATACCGAAAGTTATCCAGCTCTCTATTGTATAACTGTATTGAGCTCCATCTGGAAAACTAAAAAGCCCACACATATCCCAAATATTTCTGCTTAAACAAAGTATTGATTTTTCAAGGTGCTTATCTAAGCCCCAAAGAGATAGTTAAGCAATTAAGATAACACAATATTCTGGGGGGAAAAAATGCTGATTCCAAAAATGCTCTTGATTTAAAATAGGCATGGAATACTATATCCCAAAATCAAATCAACTTTTATTTCCTTCTTTCACCTGGCTTACCTCACTAAGAATAACAATACCGGGCTTCCCTGGTGGCGCAGTGGTTGAGAGTCCACCTGCCAATGCAGGGGACACGGGTTCGTGCCCCGGTCCGGGAAGATCCCACGTGCCACGGAGCGGCTGGGCCCGTGAGCCATGGCCGCTGAGCCTGCGTGTCTGGAGCCTGTGCTCCGCGACGGGAGAGGCCACAACAGTGAGAGGCCCACATATCACACACACACAAAAAAGAATAACAATACGTAAGCTGGGCATAAACCCAGAATTTTGTGGTCATACCACAGCAGTTCCAGGTTCTATAACCATATCGTTGTTTTAACATGGTTACCCAATGATATATTGGGCCGATGCTAATATCACTCATGCTCAGCCATTTTTTCCATTTTGTCTTCAAGTGCTACACTTTGTGTAAACCTTGTATTAACACATACCAAATACTGAGTTGTTCTAAAAATATCTCCGAATATTAAAAAATTTACTTACATTTAAGAGTTTAGAAAGAAACTAAGGGTAACCCTGGGCTAGAGTCAGTCTCATGTGACTCACAGAAAAGCACTTACATGTATTTTTAAACAATTAATTTTGCAACTCTCACAAAACAGACTGTGTTGCAATCACAAGAAAATGTGAACTACATAAATCTAATAAAGCAAAGGTTCCAAGGTGATGGACAAAGGGAAAGATCGGAAAGAGATTTCTTATAAAGAGGTATTCCTAATTCTGTTGTAAGCACAAAACGCAACAAATATTTTGAGCTTACAGTTTCCAGAATGTCTATCTGGACCTGCAAATCTATGTATTTTAACAGAATGTGAAACAGGGTGTGAATAAATATAAAGAGAAGTTACCAACTGAGTTCTGGACCTGATAACCTGTGACTCTCTAGTGAGAAATACATGTGAAATAAGTTCATTACCAGCCATCCCTACCTCACAAACCAAATGGAAAGACAAATAAGGCAGTAGTTCCATGAGAGTCATTTCTTGTGAGATGCACACGCCCTTACGGATGAATCATTTTATTTCATTATACTACGTCTAATTCTTATGATTAAAAATAACTTACATTGTAGCATTTTATTACTATAGGAGTCACACACATGTGAATCTCTTCTTAGCTACCTGAAAACACACAATATAAGTCATTGTTATCCTGAAATAGTATAAGGAATTCATTAATGTCCAATTTTCATTGTAAAATGAAAACATTTGGCCCCTTTGCATCTGACCGATTTAATACACCATGTCAATAAAACTGAAAGTCATAAAACTAAAATAAACAATACTTGCACCTTCTAAGAGGGTATCTGATGATCTTTCTCTTTTCCCTAAGCAGGAGGCAGCTCTGAGACTATTAACTGACACTGCCCATCAGACCTAAGAAAAACATAAGTGCATGTGATCTCGCAAAACCATGTAACTGGCTGGTCAGCGGAACATCAGAAGTAATATCAACAGCGACAATCGTAACTACTGGACTCCTCGAGCATCTAGTCTGTGCCCAGTGAGAGGCCTGATGTCATTCAGCCCTCAGAACAGCCCTAGGCATTACCATACGCTAATCTCCAGATGACACGTGGGGACACTAGGTTCAAGGATAACTTGCCCCCAAGCAATCAGACTCCAAAGCCTAGGTCCTTACTGCCTAGGTACACCTTCCCATCACTTTTACCTTTTCTCACGGATCCGTGATTTCTGTACCACTTTTATATAGTTATTCCCTCACTAGTGACTGGAAGATGTTACCCAGGTGAGACTCTGCAGGCCCAGCGCACAGGACTAGAAGCAGAGGAAGTGAGGGGCACATGAGCTCCTGGGACCGTGCTCTCATCACACAGAACTTGGGAAGGTGGGCACCTGTGTGTGCAGACTATTCACACGTTGTTCTTTGTGCACATAGGTTTTTTTTTTTTAAAGGACTTAAGGTCCGAAATGATTATTATACATTTTGGAAATGAAGGTAGTAAGATATCTATCTTGTTATCTCTTCCTGGCATCAGCAAGATATGCACTCACTCATTCAATCAGCCAACTAAGGAGCGACTGTATCGTAAGCCAAGCACCATGCCCTTTGCTGAGGGTATGAAGATGAACAAGGTCTAGCCTACACCCTCAAAGAGCTTCCTGTCTAGTGGGAGGAAGGACAAATAACCAGATAAATGTAATAACAATGTGGGAAATGCGGTGAGAGGCAGGTGTTCAGGGTACGCTCTGGGCGGCTCACTCAGGCTGGACCAGGAGAGTCAAAGGGGCTTCCTAAAAGGAATCGGGCCGAGACAAGCCTCCGAGGCGTGCTCCACATGAGAAGGAACTACATCTAGGGACCCCAGGTGGAAAAGGCTTCATCATCTCAAACCAGCACCCCTATCTCTACAGCTCCTTGAGAAGCAGAGACCTCGAAAGAGCAGCCCAGCTTTTTATGAGGCCACCTCACGATCCGAGGGCAAGCCAAACTCAGAACATCTGAGTCACAGCCGTTCCCTCACGTGCAGAGGGGGCCGAAGCTGCAAGGCCAGAAAGCCCTGGCCACCTGGTAACCAGCTCCCGCCCCCCGCAGACTGCAATCCTTATCATGCCTGCTACCACCATGTCCACCACGAACTCTAGAACCTCAACCAGGTCAGCTAACCTCTCCCTGGGCCTGAGCCACTGCCGAGCAAGTGATCCCAGCCGCACTGATCTGAGCGGGGCCGCTCCCCCAGCGTCTGTTCACGTGGGCGTGAGGCTCAGGAAAAGTCCAGGAGAAGGCTTCTGTGTAGGAACGGTGACATGCTTCACCATCCACAGGAGAGGGGCGGAATGAAGGAAAGAGCGAGGAAGAGGAGGAGGAGGAAAGGGAGGGAGGGAATGGTGGGGCTATGCCTGAGATTAAAGTGTGGCCCTCACATGTGTCCCAGGGTGGCCCATCTCTCTTAGGCAGGTCACAAGGGCCACAGCAATGGGCAGTGATGGAGTGGCCTGGGAAGCATGAGGTCAGTGACGAGTGGCATCTGGCGATTCCCTTTCACGGCAGGCAACAGGTCCAGTGAGGATGCACTCACTGGGCCCAGAAAGCCTGACAGGGTCTGGTGGGGTTCATGGTCATCTGTGGTCCGCAAGAGGCCAGGTCAGTTCCTGTGACCACTGCAGGAAAATGACCTCAGCAGAGCATCATCCTCACCCCGGACTCACTAGGTAGCAGTGCTCAGCCCCCAAGCTCTGTTCACGTGGACCATGACCCCAAAGCTGGCCCAGCTCCCAAGAGCCCCTCTGCATGGGCCTCACCTCCACGCTGGCCATGGGAAGTGGGAGGGCCAGCCCAAGCAGCTCCACTCTGGCCCGTGTTAAACAACCCTCCAGCCTAAAAGCCCCCAACACTTAACAGAGCTGCATTCTTCAGAGGACAAGAATGTGTGCAGGCTGTGGAGAGAGGCCTGACACGAGGCTTTCGAAAATAGATTAACCGGCCCGCCCCCCCACACACAGAGCTCCCTGCTGGCCTCGAGAATCCCGCACCAGGGTTGCCAAATCAATCAGCTCAGAGCCCCAATCCCAGCAGGCCCGAGTCTGCAGCAACTTGAGCAAATCCCGGAGTTCATGTGGGAAATGACTAGCTGAATGGGAGCCATAACCCCACCGATTTTTCGAGAATCTGAACCTATCCTGAAAACAGCTCCTTAAATAGGCAGCCTTTCCCTTACTGAGATGTTGAAGAGCCAGATACCCAGAACGGCATTGTTTCAAGTGCGAAACCCTGGAAGTAAGATTTTTTCGAACCTCTTTCTTTTTCAAGCGCACTGTTATCACGTTTCTCCGCTCTGGTACAACTCCACCTGACCCCTGGACCCGGCAGCCCCAGCCGGGAGCCCCGGTCCTGATGCAGGCGGCCTGGCGGAGCTGCACTCGGGCCGGATGACGCCCGGCAGGGACGCAGGCATCTCAGCACCAGGCCGGGGTCACCCCGCTCAGGCTCCTCGTGCCAAGTCAAATAACGGATCAGGCCCCACGCTCATTTTTTTATTATTCTACATTACCATTTCCTCAATTGATTTTCTGCTCACTTTTTCCGTCTAGCAAGTGCTCTAAAGAGGGAAAGAAAAAAAAAAAAAAAAAGAAAAGAAAGGAAGAAGGCAAGAAGGAAAGAAAGGAAAAAAAAAAAAAAAAAAAAAAAGGAAACGAACCGTCTGGCTCCCCTGGCCTATCACCCAGAGATAACCGGTTCCCTTTCTCCAGGCTGGGCCTCAGCTCCACGCCAGCACCCCCGAAAGGAAAACAAAGAGCTCCCTCTAGGTCCCACCTAAGTTGTCACCGCGCGGCTCCTGCTGGGACAGCAGTAAGGTCCCCCCCCCCAACGACCCGCACCGCCGCCGCAGTGCCACCGCCAAGCTTGCCAGCAGCTGCGGTCACCTGCGGCTGCGGGGGGTAGCACGTCATTTTCCCCCCCCGCACGCTTCCTCCTGCCTTTCCGTTTCAGGTAGAAAAGGCACCTTCTGTTTTAATCAGGGTGCAAACCCCCCTCGCCCCTACCCACAGCTACTCTTTCCTATGGACTCGGAAGAGAAACCGGGGGTGCATTCGAAGTCCCCAGAGCGCAGCGAGCGAGGAGGGGGGCGCACGCGGGGGAGGGGGAGGGCCCAAGGTGAGGCGGGGCGGCGGGGGCTGGAGCGCCAGGTGCGACGGCCGCAGCCCCGCCCCGGGTCCTAGCGCCCGCCCGCCACCTCCGGCGCCCCGGGCGGGGCCGGGAGGCAGGGTGGGAGGCTCGGCCGCGCGGCGCTGCAGAGGTTGCTAATATTGGGACCTGCCGCAACGGGAGACCGCAGCACTGCTGTCACCCCGGGGGCGCTCCTCCCTGCCACCGGATGGAAGCTGAAATAAGCCTCCCGCCTCGCCCTCCTTCCCCGCCCCCACTGCGCACACCACCCACTCAGCCGCATCCAAACCCGGGTGAGGGCGCGGCGAGCGCCGGGCGCGCCCCTCCCCCGCAGCCAGCTCCCGGCCGACCCCCAAGCTCGGGCCGGGCCCCCACCCCCCCCCCCCCCACCCCACCCCACCCCCGGCCGGGCTTCCGCTGCCCGGCCTCCCACCCAGCACTGCGCCTACCAGCCCGCCGGCAGCGCCGGGCGGACAAGGAGTGGACGTGTCACCTCCGGGGTTGGAGGTGGGGTGCCGAGGCCGGGTTTTTGTTTTACGGTCTCTGTTCAGCCACCGTGCCAGCGTCCCTGCCGGCTGACCCCAGAGCGCGCCTCTCGGCTCCCCGCTTTCCGGTCCCCGGTCCCCTCCATCCACCCTGGTGGATCCACCTCTGTCCCCGTGGCGGAGACACCGGATTCCTAATGGCTCGGCTGCGTATAGCGAACGTCCTACACGAAAGGTGACTGCGTTAAA